ATACTTACAGTGGAGGAAGAAGACAAGAAGGAGAAGAAGATGAAGAGGAGAGAAATGTTGATCTTGACATTTCTTAGGTCCATTTTCATCTGCTTGGCTATTGGCCCTCTTCTATGTTTTGAGTCATAAACTTAAGGAAGATAACGACATAAATAGAAGATATGGGGCGTTTTTCTGTACTTTCCTATTTTACTGACAATATTTTTCTTAACCAATGTTCATTTTTTACTTTTATTTTCTTACTTTCGGCGTATAATATTAATTTGAATAGCATATTTACTAACAAAGAGGCAGAGATTCTCATTGTCCATATTCTTTTAACAAAAGAAAATAATACTCCACTTCTGACTCAGATCTAACTAGGGGATTTCAGTAAATTAAACCACATGGAAAAAAAGAAAAAGAAAATTATGGAGGTCAGATCACATTGGTTTATTGTGCTGCGAGGCTATTTTCACAGCTCGAACCTATAACTTCATGATCACATGGCAATAATTTCCATCAAGGCTCCCCTCTATAACCACATGGAGCCAAATTATGAACAGAAGGGAAGTTGCTTTACTTTTTGTACAAGGATCTTCTTTCATAATTTGGCTAAAACTAAATCATAGATACAGACAAATTATGAGATACGGAACTTTTAAAAAAATTAAAGCAGCTCTTTTTTTGTTCATAATCCTAGCAAATCTTTAAAGGAACTTAGAAGGACCTTGAGTACTCTTCCTAAGCAAATCTTTAAAGTTCTTTTTAAGTACCGATAATCTTCTTAAAGTAACGTTTAACAATTTTCATATAATGATAGGAATATATAAACAAATCGAGGATCCATAATAAGTGTAATCTTATTGATCATTATATTTATATGTATATATTTTGAATGTTTTTAGTATAAATACAAATAAGAATTGGATCAATTGAATCACACAATTCGCCTAGATTATTCTCATGCAAGTCATATATTTTGAATTCATCTGAATAGTACCTTAAAGGAAGTTAGATGGCGAATTTATATTTACTACTCTGTTCGAGAACATCCAAATACAAACTAAAGAATATATAGCATCTTGGAAAAGAAGAAATAAAGTGTGTTGATATGATAAAAGCATATTATACTCCAACATCTGCTCTATCTATCTGGTACTTAAAACAATATAATTGTGGACCTGAGATAGGCTAATTGAAGGTTGTCCACAGCATGCTTTCGATATATTTGCATTGAAAATTTAGCAAAACTTAGCAAGTTGAAGATAATATTGGTGGACCACGTTATCAAAGCATTAGTGTCGTGCACGGAAAACAAGACAAAGCGCAGGCACAGCAGTGCAGTACCTGTACTACTACTAACTGACCACTGACCAGATTCCGATAGGACGCCAACATCTAGGCTTTTAACAAAGAGATGCTCTACTCTTTCAACTTGCCTAGCTAAATGTTTAACTCTACCATGTTCATAAACCATATGTAACCTGCTCAAAACTTGAACATGTCCAAAGTTTACAACAGTCTTAACTACATAAAGATAGAATTAATGATCTAAAAAATAAAGGGAAAATTCTATGTATATAATAGCAAACTATTAATTCAAATTAAATGATATAAACATAGTTTGATTTAATTGTACCTGATAGCAAACTGTTGTTATTTCGCCTCTCTCCTAATGAATCTCGCTCGCCACTCTCGCTTTTTATACAAACGCAAATGTATAAAATGTGTTTGTGTTTGTATAAAGCGAGAGAAAATTGTATATATACATATATTTTCGTTCCCCTCTCCCAGATCTTGCTTGCCACTCTCCCAGATCTCGCTCGTCACTCTCTCTCTCGCCTCTCTCGCTTATACAAACAGAAATGTATAAATTGCATTTCTGTTTGTATAAAGCGAGAAGAAAATTGTATATACACATGCAAATACATATATATTCATCATATACACTTATAATTATACAATACAAATATTCTCCTGCCCAGTTCTCTTATGTCTTTCTCTCTTTCTCGCTTTATACAAACACATATTATACAATTGATCTTTTGTATATGTATACCGAAACAGAAACATATTATATACAACTGTTTTCTTTTGTATATGTATAGCGAAATATACATATTTATGTTTGCTATAGAGCGCAATTATACAAATTATAGCTATAACATACAAATATGATTTTGTATTTGTTATAGGTGAAAGTTTCTCAAAAATAAAACTACTCACTTGTATATTAGAAGAAAAACACACTGATAATATAATATCAATGACTTAACAAGAGTACAAGGAACAATCTCAGACATGCTTCGTTTTTGACCAATTGTGGAATCTTTTATTTTGTTATAATATAATGGGTGTCAGTGACACCACAATGAAACTGGGAATCTTTGTTGTATCGTCGTTTGATGCAGCTGCTGCTACTACTACTACTACCCTATTTCATCTAACTATCCACTATGGTGGAGCACTATCTTCTTTTTATTTTATTTTTTGGGTTTAATTTCCCTATAAGAACAGTGGGCGCCAGTAAATATGAATTCTTTATTCAGGGATCGTTCTTTAAGAGCAATCATCGACTAATTATTTTGTCGTCAAGTCAAAGTAAAAGAAAAATTATTTAATTTTGTTTTTTAACCTAAATATTCTACCGAGTTTGTGTTTTAAATATAGGAGTATTGAATATAGTGTACACTCTAAACGGATTCAAAATTTAAAATTTCATGAATTATTGGAGATTTAAATTTTTGTAAATAAAAATGTTATAAGCATTTGTTAAATTAGGTCTTAGGCCTAACTCACACCCCAAAAGCTAGCTCAAAGGGAGGAGGATTGCCTAAGCCTTATAAGGAGTCCACCCATCTCATTAACCACCGATGTGGGACTTTTGTCATTCTTTAACACCCCACCTCACGCCCAGTGCTTAGCATCTGGTGCGTGGGCAATTTTGATTTTGGGGGTCCCAACATCGGGTGAGACGGGCCCTGCTCTGATACCATGTTAAATTAGGTCTTAGGCCTAACTCACACCCCAAAAGCTAGCTCAAAGGGAGGAGGATTGCCCAAGCCTTATAAGGAGTCCACCCATCTCATTAACCACCGATGTGGGACTTTTGTCATTCTTTAACACCCCACCTCACGCCCAGTGCTTAGCATCTGGTGACAGCATTAAAGGAGATTTGAAACCTTCATCTAGCAAGGGAACAAAACTTAAAAGAGTTATATATCTTCAACTGGATCGAAAAAAACACATAGTATTTCTTATATATTTTCTTCATTCACTTTTACTTGTTAAATTTAAATAAAAAAAATAGAATTTCACTTTTGCTTTTTCACTTTTAACTTATAAAAAAAGAGATATTTATTTCTTTTTTTCCTTACTCTCAATAGTAATAACTTATTTCTCAATCAATATGATTATTGTGATAAAATACTCATATTGATCATTATTTCTTAAAATGCTTGCAAAGTCTATAATAAACAAATAAAATGAATAAGGAAAACATTCACTTAATAAATTTCTCAATACAAATATTAAATCTGAGAAAAAATTACTGATTTTGAAAATCCACCAAAAGTCATAGATCCCTGACAATAACTTATATGGTAAAGCTGATGGCCGAATGGTATTTCTTAATTCATGGATCCACGAGCGACGACTTCTTAATAATTGGTTAATCGTCTTGATTATCCACAAAGCTTGTCAGTTAATGACAATTTGTTCTTTTCATTTACATTATTACACATAAAAAATATACAATTATATATACTATGAATAAGTTTGGAGAGTTACAAAGAAAATTTCAAGCTCATATTAATCGTGGGTGGGGACAAATCACAAAATTTAAATACACACAAGCATAGAGACATTCACTGACAGAATATCTTAGTGCTTGTATTTGTTTTTTTTATCTGTTTAAAGTATTTCTTTCTGCTGTTTTTTTCTTAATCATGACATCTTTGACAACACTTGAAAGAAGAGAGAAAAATATGGAATATTCTTTTGGGCCTAAAATAATGGACGTCTGAAGGTCTTATTTTGGCCCATTGTTGATAGAAATCTATTAGCTTAGTTAGCTAAAAGTCCAGATACTAGTTTTTTAAAAAAAATTATTGACCTTATAGAGCAAATCGAAAAATTTAGGACAAATTACAGGAATACACACATTTTGTTTCACTTATTTCCATCATTCCCTATTACTTTTAAAAATCTCCAAAATCCCTTATTTCTTTAATGTATCGGAGCTGCATATTAATGTATCCGAGCCAGTATTTAATGTATCCGAGATATATATTAATGTATTCGAGCCAGTATTTAATGTATCTGAGCTACATATTATGTATCCGAGTTAGTTTTTAATGTATTTGAGCTACATATTAATGTATCCGAGAAAATATTTAATGTATCTGAGCTTCAATTATTGTATCCGTTTTTTTTAAGAGATTAATGTAATTAAAAACTTAATAGAGATAGATTGTAATTTCATATTAAAACTATGTGATTTATGTAATTTACCCAAAATTTTATGAAAAAAAAGTTAGACAGCAGTCTAAAATTTAGTAGACATTTGGACGATAATATAATATTTTGTTAGTCTTTAGGTCTATATTTGCCCAACTTTAAAAGAATATGAACAAAATCTAAATAATGGCCTAAATCATTTTCGGCATTACAAAGTCTTTTCTTACCTCTTTTACGACGGAGGTCCACTCTGTTTCTATCGAAAATTCATCTTCCTCGGGACACTTTGGTAAATACTAAATACTTCATTTGTTTCGATTTATATGACTTGTTTTTCTTTTAGTCTGTCTAAAAAAATACATTTCTATATTTCTATATTAAGTAACAATTTAGTTTTAAAAAATATTTATTTTATTCTTAATGAAATGATTTATTGTGATACAATTATTTATCATTTATTTTAAATCACACGTATTATACTATGTGTCAAGTCAAATTAACTTATATAAAATGAGACTAAGGAAGTATTAAATTACTAATATGAGAAGTGGGGCCAAAAGAAGAAAACAGAGAACAGATGGAGGAATTTGAAGAGTATAGTAGAGATATTTTAGTTGTGTGGGTGTTAGCATCATAAAAATTTGATCTCTCACATTTACATACACATTTGTTCTTTCCCAACTTGTGTTATGAAATCAGAAATCAGTTAAATTTCCAGCTAATAAACAACAATGTCTAAAGCTTTTTTTGCCTCAAACACTATTCTTCCGCCATGGAATTCCTCTGAGCCACCATTAATCCCCTGTAATTCCCAATTCCACTTCAAACCCACCACCCGCCGTCACCTTATCACCTCAATCTCCATCCTAATAACTCCATTTTTGGCTAGTGACCCATTTAGCCCCTTTCCATTACCAGTGTCCCATGCTCGTGGGCTTTTTCAAATGCCCCCTTTTCGCCTCACTAACAGGTAATTCTTGAATGATTTCCTTTTTATCTTCTTAATCTGCTTGAGAGTTTTGATTTTTGTGATAAGAATTTGTTGAGGTGATTGGCAGGTACTTTTTGGTGAGAGCAGGGGAATCGGAATATGAGAGTCTGGGGCTGATAAATACTAACCCAGTAGCCAAAACATCGGTGGATAATGGGCTGTCTGAGAAAGGGAAGAAACAGACAGTTAGGGCGGCGTTTGATTTGAAGGAAATGAGGGCTTGTGATGGGAATTGTTGGATTTGGCCTTCAATCACTCAGAGGGCTTATCAGGCTGCTGAGATTATCGCTGCTGTTAATGGTGTTAATCGAAGGTATTATAGTTGCTTCAATTTGGACACTAACTTGGCCTGTTTTCTTGAAATTCAGTGCTTTTTGCATATGATAACTACTTCGCTAGTCTGATTGCAGCCATATAGTCCCTGAATATAGCTTTCTCGATGCTCGTGGATTGGGGGCATATGAAGGGAAAAGTTTGGATACTATATCTAAAGTAAGATGCTGCTTTGTACTCAGTCACATTACTGTCGAATTCATGCGTTAAATTAACAAGATTAACAATGTATTCTGAGTCCTATGTGGTGGGAAAGGATTAATTATCTGCAGCTGAAATAAACTTCCAATCCTAATGATAATCATATGTGGAGTTTTTCAAATATTTGGGACCTATCGTCTAGTATTTCCAATGAGTCATTTCTCTTTGCCTCGGAGAACTTGAATTAACTATACTCTTGTGTGCTAAATTATTCGAAAATCATTGAAACACTTAAGTTCCTGATATAATGCTGCAGGTGTATGAATCAGATAGCCTTTCTCCAAACATAAAGCCACCTCCTACTGATGATGGAACACCTAATGAGAGTGTTTTGGATGTCTTTGTTCGTGTAACACAAGTTATGTCGATTCTTGAAACTCAATACTCTGAGGACACAGTCATTATAGTCTCACCAGATTCTGATAACTTGACAATTCTGCAAGCTGGTTTAACAGGGCTTGATCTTCGAAGGCAAGTGACCTTGACAGCTATACTTTTGCTTTCAGTTTAGGTCACTCCGACATGTAAATGGTTTACAATTATTTGTTGACCATGTTGGTCTTATCTATTTTGCAGGCACAGGGATCTTTCTTTTGGGCCAGGTGAAGTTAGATTTGTTGACACTAGCAGCATACCTACCTATAAGCAACCTGCATCCACAGTTTATAAATGCTTAAACCCCCCTAGCTGTACATGACATTATACTCCTAAGCTTGGATTTCACCACCAAGAATGCAGGTGAGATACGTCAACTTTATCAGCTATATACTGTTGGATTCGGCATCATGTTTTATGTATATCATTGATCTTGGTATTCATTTTCTGACGTTTTCATTCTCTGAACTCTAACTGAAGCTTTTAGTTGAAAAGTTCCTTATAGAGTTGCTGCTATAGTAGAATCGATCAGTGCTTCAAGTAAATGTGAGTCGTTGATTTACTTGTATATAAATCATCATCATTTTCAATCACAAATGCTTAATATTTGAATTTCAGCAGGATCATTTCTTATCATTGTTGGTGAAGATGGGCTCAGGCAGCTGTATAGTTTTTCTTCAACCAAGCTTAAAAGGTTCATTGGATCATAATATTTTCTGTTGGAACAAGTGCTTATTGCTGTTTTTGAATTTTAAACTCAAGATTGTCGGATTGTATAAATTTCTTTTTGCGCTGATTTTATATATAAGAGATAGGTGTCAAAAACACACCTAAACTATTCCCTTTTTTTGAGTTTCATATATAAGCGATAAGTTTCCATGGAGATACATTGAGCGGAAGTGATGGAATGGGGTAAGAAAAATATTTTACATTTTATTTTATTAAATATACACACACATATATATATTATTTTTTTTTAATTATTTTTTTGGGTATAAAAAGGAAACATATCTATTTCAATCAATGATGAATGCATGTAAAGAACATAACAGAGCAAAAGAAGAGATCGGATTCTTTGAATCTCAACAAGTTTCCCATATATATAAATTTAAAAAAATGTGGGATTACGGATTACCAGGCCATAGGGATAGACCAAATTGTTTGTTCGCATCTTCAGCATCCACGAATTTGGCCATGGGCTTTCGATTACAGCCAAATGGAGTCAAGAATTTAACCAAATTGAGTTTAACAAGCGAATTCGGCTAAAATTTAACTGACACTAATTTAATAAGGGAAAATTACGCAGTTAAGCAAATTTATACTTAATTATTGAGTATGAAGACAAAACGGCAACTTTATTCCTCGTGCAGCGATTTCAGTTTTTCAAAAAAAATAAAATTGACAAACGGTGTTAATTTTGTTCAAAAGACATCTCTCCCTCAGAAACGATTTTGCCCTTTTGGTTTTAAAAAAAAATTATTATACAGTTTATATTTTTTCTTAGGAAAAAGGTTGATCGTTTTGGGTCCGATCTCTTATATATTGTATCGTTTTGGCGCCGTTGAAGCAATCCGTAACATCCCTTCAAAGAGAATGCAATTAGTGAAATAGTTGCAAAATGATTACGTGTCATTTCTTGACACGAAAAATAAAAGGGCAAACTACATAAATTTCACTAGTTTTGACCTAATTACTAAGATTCTCGATAGTTTCAAATATTACTTCCTCTATCATATTTCTTGCTTGGGATACATGAGTTTGAATCCGCTAGATATATGTATCTGCCGAATTTTTAAAATGACATACGTATTTTATTTGCTTAAATTAATTGGTTGTAACTGATTTCCTTAATTAGAGGAGTAATTGATGATTTTTAGAATACATGGGCAATTAATTTTGGAAATTAATTTAATCAAGGAGTATATTTATGCTTAATTAATTTCATTTATTATTCTTTAAAATAATAAATTCATTAATATTATTATTAATAAAAGACAAAAACATGTATATCTTGGTCATGTAATTTGATTAGTTTCATTTTATTACTCTTAAAATAATAAATTCATTAATTTGATATATCTATTATCAATAGATGATGTATCATACAAACTTAACACTTAGATACATGAGTATCATACAAATATATTCATATGTATCATAGAAGTATCTAGTATTAATTTTGTATATTTGTTATATGTGTCCTCTAGTATTAATTTTATGTATCTATTTATATGATCTAATTTCAATATTATGTATATCTTTTACATGTATCTAGAATTAAATCGATGTATCAAGTATCAGTAGTTTCATATATTATATCCAAAAACATAATTATGCGTATCTGTCTTATTATTAATATAAAAAAGTAAAAAAAAAATCAAAATTCTTCCTGTTTTTAGCATCTGAATTTTTTTCTCACAAATACATATAATTTTAACTCAGATGCATCAACTCTTAACTAGATACATGTACACCTCGTGATGTGTAACATTGTTGCATGTTTAATGGTGTATTTGTTATGTTAAGTAAAGTTTGGCGTAATTCTTCCCTCTTGATTGAGTCATTCCTATATTTTAATCTATTCTCGGCTTGAATGTTAACAGGTGAAGAGTCAGTCTCTGCAATGAGAAACTCATGAGTGAAAATAACAAATAAAAGTTGTTTGATTTAGTATAATATTGTTAATATGTAGTACCTTTAACAAGAATCATCTGATTTTAAGAATGGTCAGCCATTAGAGTTGAGAAACAACATAATCAAAAAAAAATATAAAACCTAATTTGTAAACAAATTTAAAATTGAACTTAAGAACATTATGATCTTTAACTCAAATACAAAACCACGATACATGAGAATAATAAAATAATAGAAACAAATATATATATATATAATATTGATTTGAACATGCAAATATGTATTGAGAGCATGAAGGAAGAAAGAGGGAGAAGATGAAGGAAGAAAGATGGTTGGTGGACGTGGGGGTGGGGAACGGCATATGTGATTTATGTGTAAAAAAATTGAGTTGTTAATGTGGACCACTAATTAAGGAGTTTAAATTTAATATAATTATCGAATATCATATTTAAGGAATTTGTGTATCTAATTAAATCTTTTAAAATATATGGTATAAATATTAAAAGTGATAGTATATGTAATTATTTTAAATTAGAGGCAAATATATAGTATATATGGGTGTGATGTATGTGTAGTTATCTAGTTTTTCCAAAATAAACTTCCTAGTGATTTACTTCTTTCGACCAAATAAGTATTGTTTTAGTAACTTATTTCACGCAGAAATAAAAAATATAAGATATAATTTATTTCTCCTTCTTAGATATTATTTTAGGATTGATATTATTAAAAAATAATTATATATTTTTGTCTTGAAATTTGAAAATAATTTATTATTTTAAGACATTTTTTTTAACTAAAAGAAGAGTTATTTTAAAGCAGACACTACATCAAAATGACTTTTAACGACAATTAGTTAACGACAATAATTTAATTGTCTCTAAATATGTACTTTTAACGTCAATTAACACACTTTATATATGTCCCTAAAGTCTTTAGCAACATTGGATCCAATGACAATTAACTAATATCGATAAAGGTTTTAATACTCTTTGTTAATATGTATATATTTATTGCTGCTAAATGATATTTTTGTTATAGTGAGAGAGTATATTTATCAACAATTAACACGTCACATAGGTCTCGGGCAAGCAGTCCTTTTCAAGGATTTTTTTTATATCTAGAACTCAAACACTAATCTTTTGTTGAACAAGAGTCTTGCAGCCATTTCTAGTGAAAAGCATTTGTACATAATTTTATTTTAACTGAAAAGCATTTGTCCAAAAAAAAATTTATTTCAACTAAAAAGAAGGCAAATATTTTCTTTTTATATATAATTCAAGCCATCACCAGGATTGTGAGCCCTTAGCGTGGGGGTTAGACTTGACACCATGTCTATTCATTCAAAAAGTTACAAAGTTAGAGGGGACATGGACCAAACCTCCAACAAGAAACCAACTTCATTTTATTTGCAATTATCTAATCTAAGATGTGAAGATAACTTGGTTCATCATGTTGCAATATTATAATTATTTCAAAAAATTTGATTACTTTGAGCCAAAGTAAAACATTTAACATGTGATCTTTTTTACTACTTTGTCATCCAACTTGGTGAACAAGTATTACCTACTTAGTGACCAAGTATTGCTCTACTTGGTGTCAAAGTAATAACTCACTTGGTGCCAAAGTATTGATTTACTTGGTGACCAAGTATTCTTGGTACCAAAGTAATTTCCTTATCTTATCTATATAAAGACCTAACATGACATTTTCAAAGAATGAACTAAGTGAGAACATATTACCAAAGAGAAATAGAAAATACTTTTCTTTCAATTATTGTCTTTTAATTGTCTTGCTGGTTTTGTAGTATTTATATTTTGTTTATTCATGTATCCTCTAATTAATTAGAGAAGACTTATTTAATAATGGGAAACATTTCACACTACTGAAATAGTTTCTCAGGACAGTGTCTAACACGACTCAAGTATTATATATATATATATATATATATACTATATATATTTTTCATACATCCTTTGTGCTATCGTTTCAAAAATAAAATACATTGTCCCATTCAAGTTTTATTAACTAATAGAAGAATCAGTGCATGTCATTACTCTATTGGTGTATATGATGGCGGAATCACAATTTTCACTTAAAGAATTTAAAATATGAAAAATTAAACATATAAACAAGTTAAGCAAATTCAACATCTACTATTTATATCTAAAAAAAATATTATCTATGTTCTAATTTATATGACACATTTTTTTCGAGATTCAAACAAGTTTATCTTTGATAATAAATTTTTCATATATATTTTGAATTATCAATTATTGTGACTTATAGCATTTTTTATAAATATATAAATTTTATTTTTGAAAAATTAAAGATTTCATGAATAAATTCTTGATCAAATTTAAACTGTTTGAGTTTTGGAAAATGAAAAGTATGACATATGAATATAAGCATAGAGAGTAAAATCTCAACTTCATAATTTTCCATACAAAGGGTTTCAAATGAACACGTTGTATCCATGTGGTTCTGCCGGTGCGTGCATATACATAAGTTAAAACTATATAATGAACCATTGCTCCATAGTATCTCTTAGGGGTATAAAATCGAATCAAACCATAAATTAAGTTAAATCGAGAAAAAAAATTTGACTAGTGATTGATTTGACTTGGTTTGATATTGAAAAAAAAATCGATTATATTTGGATTGGTTTGATTTTAATTAAAAAAAAATAATCCGAAACCAAACCAACCTGACATTATATATATAATTTTAACATTTTATTTTATACATAAAAAATATTTACTTTGATATAATTTTTTAAATATTTCTTGTACTTTTTCATAGTTTTTATCTTTTAATATATTATTATTTCAAGTTTGAAACTTAGAATTCTAAATGGTTCAATAAAGATTATAGTCCACAGATGTTGATAATTATAAAAAAGCTTAAATCAAAATCAAATTAATACTAATGCAAAAATAAAATCAATTCAACAGTAAGAATGATAATAATATTGAATATTTGTTCTATGGTTTTACATAGGTTTATTCAAATACATGATTTAATTTTAATTTCCTTTAATATTTAGTCATGTAACTAATACTTATTAAACTTATTTTAGCATCATTTAGTACTTTTAAATTATGATCATTTCCATTATGACTTGTTAATTTGCAATATTTGTTTTACACGATTTCATTATTATTATTTTTTTGTTGGATATTTTAATATCATTACTCATATAATATTTTGTGTTATTTTCTTAAGAAACACCTTAGATAGTTGTATTTTAGTACGT